TAGAATGATCCTACTACACATAAAGAGTGTATACTTGCAAAAACAACCATGTCATTTGGACCAGATTTGGCAGAGCTACATATAAATCTTCATTTTCGGTGGACCAAGATGGACCACCAATCATTCAATATGTGCAAACAATTTTACTGCACATGCAGTAAATCTGTTTGCATTTGTTTTTAACCATGTGATATCATGTGGATTCAAGTTCAGTATACAGAAACCAATGTTTCCTGAGAGTACACATGACATTTCAGACTATTTATTTGTATTTACCTACATTTATCCTCATTTTAGAATGATCCTACAATTAAGGAGTGCATACTGCAAAAAAAACCATGTCATTTAGACCAGATTTGGCAGAGCTACATAAAACCAACATTTTCTGAGAGTACACATGTCATTTTGGACTATTTATTTGTATTTACCTACATTTATCCTCATTTCACAATGATTCTACAATTAAGCAGTGCATACTGCAAAAAAAACCATGTCATTTGGACCAGATTTGGCAGAGCTACATACAAATCTTCATTTTCGCTAAAAATGATGACTAATTTGGTGTTGTTGCCCATCCAGAAGTTTCTCAACTTGAACAAACAAAATTACCGCGCGTGCGGTAGTTTTGATTGCATTTGTTTGAAAGCAAGTCATTCAAAACAGATGCAAAGAACTTTGCCACACTTTGGCAGAGCTACAACAAATCTTCATTTTCGCTAAAAATGATGACTAAGCGATGGCGTGCGCCAAGGATCGTCTGAACCCCAGCGCAGGTTCAGACGATCCTTGGCACACGTCATAATTTGGCATCATTTGGCTAACCCTTCTGCTTTTGCATGCAGCTTATATTAGTAATTTTGCAAGAAAATACTGTAACTCTGTCAAATCTAATCCGAATTACATAAAATAAAATCCAGAAAAAAGGTAAAATTCCGCGCAATTCGATTATGTAAAATTGTGCACTATGTATTACATAATTGGCATGTCATTTCCCAGGTTATATCTGCAATTCTGAAAGAAAATACTGCAACTCTGTCATATCTGATCCAAATTACATAAGATAAAATGCAAAAATAATATACAACTGCAAGAAATTTAATTACATACATTGTAGTGGTATGCATTACATAATTGGCCCTGAAAAGGAGAAAAGCATCTATAAGTGTATTCAAAAGAAAAGCTGCAACTTACTGGATACCACTTATACAAAACTATAAATAACTGCTGCCACATGCACTAGTCCATATAGCTATATATAATGTGACAACTATGGACAAAATGATGCAATAGAACTGATGAACAATAGTGTTTGGCAGATAGATGAACTCTCATTAACTGGTTGTGACCATGTTGAGTGACAATCTGTGCCATCACTGGACAGATCACATGGTCAATAAAACCTTGTACTATATACCATCAACTACACAAATGATGACAGAAGCATACAAAGCTAGAGTGCATGAAACCCTGAACGTGGATGACTACAAAAGGCTAGAGACCCTGAATCCCCTGAATCCCTGAATGTGAGAAACCATCAATTTTCGTGGGAAAAAGGCAAAGTTCAGCGTTAGAACGCTGAAAAATTCCTTGAGATCAAGAGTAATAAACGAGTCTCTTCGTAAACTCAGAGGACTCGTAACCCGCAACTCAGCCTGCGGACTTAAGCACCAGAATCGCATCGCAAGCCACAAGCACATATAATCAAACGACAGAAGACAGTAACGAACATCATATTTTCCTGAAAACGCTCGTCCCATTACCGGCTGTACCTATTGCTATGCGATCGGGTACTTAGAAGACGAAACACCAACCAGCCGGACTGCAAAGTTAAGCAGAAGACAGGACTACCCCGCTCGCCTATAGGATGCACCTCTAAACGGCGTTTCCGTGCCGGACTAGGAAGGGGAATGATCGCCATGGGCGTGCCCTCTCCAGTGCAAGAGGTGATCCTCAGGGGGTCAGGAATCATAGGCACTAGGGGCCTTAGGTAGTCTACGAAGTTGTAAAGTCTGACGTGGGGCTTCGCCCCGATGGACTATAAATTTGACATTAAAAAAAAAAAAAAAAAATGTAATATATAGTGCAGCATTTTAAGTAATACGATTGCGCGGAATTTTACCTTTTTTCTGGATTATATTTTATGTAATTCAGAGTAGATTTGACAGAGTTACAGTATTTTCTTTCAAATTTGCTAATATGAGCTGCACACAAAAGCTGAAGCCCAGTGAAAACCGGCTCTGTTCCCAGCCGCAAGTATCTGCGGATTCCCGGTGGATATCGGAGATGGTCGGCAGAGCAGAAAGGCGCTGATAGACTGGGATTTTGTCCCTTTTGCGGATTTTTTTCCGCGAGGCTCCGCCTTGAAAGCCACCATTTTGGTAGATAACGGCCGAAATTTCTGCTTGAATCGGTTCCTTTCCGCCTCCACCTGCACTTTTCAGTCGTTATCTGTGCCTGGTAAATATTTCGTATTGGTTCAAAAAATCTGCTATTTTCCGTAACTATCTGCAAGTCCCTGCCACCCAAGTACATCTCATATCCAACCCCAAACACAACAACCGATAACTCGAACGCTTAATAATTTCCGTCCCCCACCATCCGTCCCTTCGACTGACAAGGCTCTTCCCCCAAGCGGCTGTGAATGGGTAGGGAACACAGAAGGAAGGATATCAGTTTGTAAGCTAACGTGGACTGAAAATATTACGCACCTTGATGAATACGACGCTGCCGAGCGGGATTGAGCCAAAATATAGCGCATATATGCATGAAAAAGGTCAGAACTTTATCGGATTGTGCCAAAAAACAACTTACTGACATGTTACGCCATATGCGTTCCCCTATACGCGTTCTCCCATATGCGTTCTCTCGCAGTCAGAGAAAGTGTTCCCTCATACACGGTCGCTCGCAGTTGGAGAACGTGTATGGCCGGCTTCTATACATAACAGTGAAAATTTAGTCATTCAAACATAAAGGCACTCACGGCGATTCAAGTTCACGATGCCCACCACATCGATGATTGTTCCGATACGTCCGTGAGGGGCTTGCTGAGGGATGATCGGAGCGATGTGCCAGAAGTCCTGGAAGACGGAGTGGAGGGGAAGGTGGGGGAAGGAAGGAAAGAGGGGGCATGGTAATCATTTGACGATGTCTAGTATATATGTAATCACCCAGAGTCGACTTGCGAAAAGAACTTTGAATGGAAAGATGCCAAGTTGATGTAAAGCAGTCGGTGATGGAAAGAAGTTTTTCGGTTGATGCCGGGAATCTCACCTAGGTGCGGATTCTCGCCGATTTTGTCCTCCGCCATCGATATTTGCGGATCAGCGCGGAGCGGTGCAGAGCCGGTTTTCACTGGGGCTGAAGGGTTAGCCAAATGATGCCAAATTATGACGTGCACCAAGGATCATCTGAACCCCAGTGCAGGTTCAGACGATCCTTGGCACACGTCATCGCTTAGTCATCATTTTTAGCGAAAATGAAGATTTATATGTAGCTCTGCCAAATCTGGTCCAAATGACATGGGTTTTTTTGCAGTATATGCACTCCTTAATTGTAGGATCATTCTGAAATGAGGTTAAATGTAGGTAAATACAAATAAATAGTCTAAAATGACATATGTACTCTTAGAAAACTTTGGTTTCTGTATACTAAACTTCAATCTACATGATATGACATAGTCAAAAATGAATGCAAACAACTTTACCACCAAGGAGGTAAAGTTGTTTGCACATATTGAATAATTAGTAAATAGTCCCTACCTAGCTCTGCCACTTCTGGTCCAAATGACATGGTTTTTCTTGCAGTATGCACTCTTTGATTGTAGGATCATCATTAGATAATGTGTTCAGGGTTTAAAGTAGATATCCAAATATGGTAAGCTAATAAAAATAGTCATAACATGGCAGAGAAATCAGAGAAAATTGAGGATGGTGCTGATTAATAGTGATGATGTCAAGTTTAAATAGACTTCCAAATAAGAAATATTGCTCATTGATGGTGATGATACTGAGGTACTCTGCTTGAAGCCCAGAGTGACACTCAAATAGAAAGATATACTAGTTTGTAAAAAATATAGCTACAAATCCAGAAAAAAAGCGAAAAGAAAGCAGAAATGGGTCACTACCACTCTTGCAAAATAGGACTCGTTCCTGCCATGCTTGCAATGGCCTCTTACACAAGTGTCATAAATCTTTGCGACAGGATTTTGGAAAGTTATTGCATTCGCATGCATCTTGTACCATCCAGAGGCTACTTTGATTATACAGTGATTATGGCGAACACGTGATATGAGCAGCTGTTCAACGTAAGTTAAGCAGGCAAGCTTGTCAGGAATTTTACCAAGCCAAAAACCATTACAAAGTGCATTAGTAGGTATTTTTCCTTTGTCTAGACTTTTATTGCAAGTTTTGCATATATATTTACAGTCATCATCGATCACAGGCCCCATGAGTTCATGGATTTCATCATGTTCAGATTTTCTTTCTGTTCGGGAAACTCCTTCTCGAATCAAGGGCTCCAAGTTACTTGAGGTATCAGATCGTTTTAACATGTCTGATAATTTTGTTAGCTGACCACAAACTGCACATCCAGATTCAAGAAGTTTGGAAGGGTGTGTGTCTTCACAGAATCCACTGATTATTCTATGAATTAATTTCTTAGAGGGTGGTTTAGGTGGGAAATTAGTGATTTTTGATGTCTGATAAGTAGACTTATTCTCTTTACTTCTCTTAATTTTATATGTTGGACCTTTCAAAAACTTAATGTACTTTTTTTTAATGATTTTTTTCTTGTCTGCTTTACTGAGACCCTTGTACCACTTAGCTTGACATTCAGAAGATGTCAAAGCTGGTTTCTCTGGAGTAAACAATGTATAAAATTGTGAACATCGTAAGGAACACATATGTGCTGATAAAACCTCCAAGACCTCTGCAACTGGAGATTTGCTTGATATTGTAACATTGTGCATTTTTGCAATGGATTTTGCTTGAACCAATGATATTTTTCCCTTTAATAATTCCAATGGCATATAACATATAAGCAGTTCAGGGTTTTTATGTAACTCAGCCTGAGCAGCTTGAAGCACAAACTGGCCAATGTATTTATAATTAACTGAGGTCACATTCTGTAGCTCCAGACTGTATGGAGTGATGTAATTTTTTATTTCACTCAAGTTTGTGCTAACCTTTCCACCCCCATAATGATTGGAAGGCACAACTGCCATCGTTGCTTGACAAGGGCACCCATACCCATACCAATGTTTAATAGAATGAAGAAAAGGTTCGTTTATGGTGGAGACTTGGATAGCGGATACTCTATTTGTCAACAATAGTTCATAGCCATACCAGTTGGAGATGGATGAGAAAGAGATAAATGTATAGGCCATTGTAAATTGAATTATTTTTGAAATAAGAATCAAAGAGGAGAAATGCACAACAAATTGATGTCGAACAAATAGTGCAGGTAGTAAAAATGAGAGATGCTCTTGAAACAAGCGAAGTTTATTTGCATATATATGACGGAAAGTACAGTGTCTTGAAAACCAAAGTGCAAGCAAAATGCAGAGCTCAATGGCATAGTTAACAGATAAAGAATACACAATTGCACTATAGTATACCAAGGCTGGTATTTGACTGCATAGGTATTCTAATGTGAAACCGAATAGTGAATGAATAATGCAAGTTACTTTTACTTTTAGTTCTCGAATTTCATCAGCAATGACAGAGTTTGTCATATCCTGAACGTATATTTCCCAATCTCTCTGCATAGTCAAGTGTTTCTCAATGTCATTGACATAGTCAACATTTGCCAGCAGGCTCGGATTGTTTCCAATCTCTATTATGGGTGCATGACGGCTCGGGTTGTTTCCAACCACTATCAATCCTTGGCAAGTTGCTTTGGATTCTATGTTTGTATCAATGGGATAGATTGTAAGGAGCAGAGGGATGATGGTAAGTAGCAACAGAGTCCACCGATATGGATGCATAGTCAATGGAGGACAAAGAATATTGGCAGTCGTTGTTCAAATATTTGAAAGTTGAACAATCACATGACTTAAATTTACATGGACATGTGATTCAGCAATAGCAAGCACATCACACTTAGCTCAACTTGTCTAGAGAAAGATCTGTGAGGAAGTACACAAATTTATTATTTATAACTCTTGCTCATTATCTGAGCTACTTTCAGATGCTCTAGACCCATTATTGTCCATTTCTGTATAGTCGCTTCTGGAGAAAGAACATCAGGAAAGTATAAATTGAATAATGAAACTCACTTTACCAAGTCCTCCATATTAATTTCATGATGCGAAAGTATTACACTATCTGTTTGGACAGAAACCTGTGTAATAGAGGGCATTGTCCCATGCACATAGTTTGCAAAGGATGTTCGACTGTGACTGCAATTATCAAGTTTGACAATACCCAACATTGTTAATCAGGGGTAAGTTGATGTTGGAGGAGATTGCAGCTGAATATCAGCAGAATGAAAAAATGGAATCTTTAATGACTCCAATTGTTGGCAGAGTCCCAGAAGTTGCATTACTCCTCGGGTTGAGGCTGATACAGGAACAAAAATTCCATTTCCGGCAATCAGATGCAAAGTTTCAAGAGATGGCCAGGTCTGGCCAATAGTTAAGAGGAAATGATCATGTAGCATTGTGAAGGGAAGTTCCACATCTATGATCAGACAGCGAAGTGGAAATGACACAAGATGCTTTCTGAGTTTCAGGGCTGAAAATGGGGCATAGTCACCCTCATTTTCAAGGAAGTACTCATCCATAGGTGTACCAAGAGGGTCTGCCCAATAACATATGATGAGGTCATGAAATGAAGCAGAAGAGCATATCTGCTTTATCTTCATCAATGTTCTTTCAATTGTTTGAGGAAATGGCGGTGCATTTGTATACTGCATGGAGAAAGAAACAAGGGAATCTGTGGATGAAATGTAGTTAAAGGACTTGAGAGAAATGTATTCGGCTGCATTCTCCATGTTGAAGTGCAGGAGTGCTGGCATATCTAGATGGAAATCAGGCCCCAGTTTATAAGTGTCAGCATTTTCTGGAGCTCGGACAGTAAGCTCCTGTAGACATGGGAATGCTGGAAAATATAGATGGATGGGTTGACCATCACACAAGATATTGAGGCTCCTAAGCCTGGTATGGATAGTGTCTTTGGTGAATAAAGGTGGCTGACTTGAGGATGAATTGTCAAGATCAAGAGTAAGGGAGTTCAGGAGGGGACAATTGTGCAGAAGACTAGCCATAGCATCCTGAAACTTGAGATCTGCCTCAGAGAACCCAAGGTGAGATAATACCAGATGGTAAAGATTAGGTGAAGCCAACAGGAATGGTAAGAAGTCGGAGAGAGGCCAGTTGGGTGTTATGGACAACACGATAGAGTAGTGAGATGCTTAAACATGTCTCTGGGAAGCAGATTATATTCCACAGCCAAACAAATGGATGATGCAAAGTTTTGAACATCAGCCGTGTCTTGAATGATGCCTTTAGATTGATCGTGACTAATAGCAGTCATAGAGCCAGCAACTTTATTGAAAGCAGCCCAATTCTAGTAGTGTAAATGAGTAATCCGAATAACAAAAATAAAATGAGAACACAAACAGGTGCAAGGGCTGGAGCATCTAGAGGAATCAATGATTTCAGACGAACAATGCTTGTTTGCTTTTCCAATAATTCTAGAGTGGCAGGTTTTGTAAAAGCTTTGCAAGTAGCAGCTAATTGCACCAGATCGCGAAGTGAATCAACCTGTGTAAAGATCAACGATCTCACTTCTGCAATATTCCATGCTTGATGCATAACAGACATCAAAAATTTGAAGGGTTGGATGAATGAAGATGTGGAGTAAAATGGAATGTAATAAATATTTGTGATAAACTGTGCTGCCAAACAATAACAAGCTTGGAATGCAAATTCACAATTTTTAAAAAGACGAATAGCAACGAGTGATATTGATTGCAAGACTTGTGGGTGTGGGCCAGTGCTTTGCATGGCATGTATGAGTCCTTTCTGTGGACTCTAAATTTAATATTAGGAAATTGGTCATGTAATCACTTTATGATTTTCTGAGTTTTGTTCTATATTTGCAAATAGACCCTGAGCTCTGAGCCTAGCCATCAATATCATAGCAACAATGTGTGCTATTCTTATTTATTTATTTATTTTATTTTCATTTTATAGCAAATTTTCCCAATTTTATAACTATTTTTCTGTTTATGGTAAAATATTCCCACAGTCCTCTTTGCATATATCTCGGAAAGAGGATGT